CCGTTTCGATGCAACATTGCCGCTGCAAGAACGAGGCAGCAACCAGCGCCACGACGAAACAAGGGGCTCTTTGGTGTGCAAGGCAGCATGCAAGGGTATATAAACATACCCTTACAGCACGTCTGGATTGCGATGACCTCCACCTCGTTGGGTCTGGCGATGACTGCGGCGCACGAGGCGGTCTATGGAGGCGGTCTGCAGACCGATGACAAATTGTGCACCAAGATCGCGTTGCCGTGACGTTGAACCCATTGGACCAATCAACTGCCGCGCTCGCAAAGTATCTTGAACCAAATGATAAATGATCCACGCTGGCCGAACCGCGCGTTTTAACCTAATAAAACGTCCGTTGATCGCTGCAGTCAGCTGATCGCTGCAGTCAGTCGATCGCCGCAGTCAGTCGAAACCACGGCGAGCCAAACGTGTCGCTGGCCGTCGAACCAGTCGTGGGGCGCGGCGGTGGTGGAAGTAGGTTAAATTCCCGCCGATGGCGTGCGTTAATCGCGTCAAACGCCGCGCAGCCGTCGAAAGGCAGTGCCGTCGCATTACTCACGCTGGCCGCACACTATTTCAACATTATTTCGCGTTTCCGTGTACCGGGATAGATAGCCGGCTATCATGTGTCGGGTAGGTGTCCCATCCGGATGGTCCGTGAATAGCCATCGCCATGCGTCGGAAAAGATTTGCATGAACCACACCAACCTGTCGGCCCGCGAGCGACAGCGGCTCCGGTCCCGTGAGCACAGCCGGCTGCACCGCCAGCGCGAGAAGGTAGACGCCGATGATGCGCGCGACTGATGGCAGTGGCTAGGACAACCTCGTCGCGCTCGCCACGAGCGTTGCGCAGTTGGAGCGGTACATCAACCAGATGAAGCGCCCAGAAGTCGCGCGCCGATTGGAGCAGCTTCGCCGGCTCCTCAACACGACGGCAGCGTACGAGAAGCACAACAGTATCCTGCGCTTGATGCTGCTGCACCGACAGACGATGCTGCTCGGGCTCCTCGCCAGGCTCGTACGGCGACGCCATGTAGCAAGAGGCTCATCACGTTGGTGTAGCCGACGCTGCCACACGAAGACCCGCGGCTGTACGACACGACGTACCTCTTTACACGCATGCGCGACGTCATCACGCGCATCAACGACAAGCAGAGTCTTCCAACGGACCCGGCCTCGACGCGCCATGTGCTGCAGAACTGGACGCTCATGGCGTCGACGACCGAGCAACGCCATGTGCGCAATCTCTCGTCGCGCTCTCGGCTGATAAGATCTTGTAGTTGTGGTACGTGCTCGACAAGGTGCTGCCGTACCACGACGTGGCGGCCGTCGCCGACTGCATTTGGCAAGCGTACACCAACAGCGCACGGTTCCTCTCGCTCTTTGAAGCCTTCCGCGACCACTCGGTGCGCTTTTTCCCATGGCGAGCGTCTAGCAGCTGAGACGGAGTAGGTCATTTCTAGCTTTGGCGACTCGTTCGTCGTCATGCGGCTCGATATTGAAGGCATCGTGCAGCACCGCGTGACCAAGCCCAAGACCATTTACCAAGTGTGCTTCAAGCACTACGTGCAAGAGACCGGGTATCGAAGCCGCGACGACGGAGCTCATCGACTGCGTAGGCAAATCAATATCTACTACATGGGGCTGTCGCCTGGCGCGCTCGAGCCCACGTCCAACATTGGCTCGTACGACGCGTCCTCCTTTTCGTTCATGTATTTAAGCACCTCGGTACTAGCATCCATGTCGTGCCACTGACGGGCCGGCGCTATCTGCACAAGTGCGTCGGCGCGTACCCGCTGCAGTCGAGCGAGCCCGCCGAAGTCGACGGTCTCATCAAGATGCAGCTTTTTATGATTTCGCGGTGGCAGCGCATCCAAGAATGTGCGCTAGGCGCGCTCCTCGAGTCGTAAGCCAGCGCGTAAATGATTGCCTATCTATCGTCGCATCGTTATTCGCTTTTGACAACGGGATGGTGCTTGCGGATACAGTCAAACACCATCGGCGCGTTCGTTGGCTGCTCGAGCGCGGTGCAGATGGCCGCGTTCACAAAGGTGGTCGCGCCCAGCGTCTTGTGCCCGTACGACGCCTGCGCCATGCCAAAGACGTGAAAGGTCGGGCGCAACGTGCTCAAAACGGCCTTGAGCAGCTCTTCGTGCCCGACGTGGTGGCCCGTAAACGTCGTGTCTAATATGCCCAGCGGTGGCATGGGTGTCACGAGAATGTCGGTGGACCGCGGAACGTCTCGCCACTCGAGCGACTTGCTACTGCGCCATCACCACAATGAACACGAAGAACGCTTCGTACCTCGAGGCGCCAAAGAGATGGATGGACTCGATGGTCAAACTTTCGTCAAGAAGCACGGTCGCGCTTGGGAGGAGGATGGTCAGGTCCAGCGACCGCTCGTGCTCGCCGGGCACGACGACCTTGTGCGCGTGCGGTAGCCCCGAGAGCCAAGCGTTGAAGCTAGTACGTTGCGTTAGACATCCATTGGACACGTTGCGTAGAGGCTCGTACGCTTCGGCTTCGTCGTGGCGGCCAGATTTCGTGCAGCCGCCGGCCACGACGAGCACGTCGCCGAGCGGAACATCGACAAACGCGTGCTTGCCATGCGTGTTGGCAATGCACACGATGCGGACGGCGTCGGGCTGCTGCGGCATCGCGAGAAGGTACGACTCGCGCCGCGCGTGGAGGCCGCAGGCGCGCACGAGCTTGCGCCAAAAGAGGAGGCCGCCAAAGCCAAAGCTGACGATCGCCAGGGGTGTGCTGACGTGGGAGAGGCTGTAGGCCATGGCCAGCATCGTGGCCAAGATGGCAGACGAGAGGCCCATGAAGAGCGGGACGGGCGGGATGACGCCGCCTTGGACTGCGAGGAGCCGCAGGATCGGCGCCAGGACGATCCGGTCCATGACGCACGGCAATGTGAGTATTATATTACTTCCGGGTGTAGTAATTAAATACGGTCTTTACTTCTGGCACATTGCCACAAGTAAGCAAAGGTGGTAATTGTGGCATTTTGCCACAATCAGACCAAGTAAATGTGGGACGTGGCACAACACTGGCGGGAAATCCACCTAGTTGATATTTCGGACGCCGGCGTACCGCGCCCATGTCAGAGACAGTGATGCGAACGCGACTGACGCACGACGCGACGGCCGTTAGTCGATACCGACTAACTAAAGAAGAGCGTCCACATGCAGGAGCTTAAATCGGACGCGAGCTTATGCGGCAGCGCGGGACGCAACGAGGCCGCACCGCCGCCACCGTGCGTTTTCCTAGCCGACACTAAGCGTTTCTATACCTCAAGTGTTTCTCGGTAACGTCTCATTACTCACCCAAACTTTCGTCTTTGTCTCGATTTGGTCAAGAGAGATCCATCACCCCGAAGTCCTTGGGACAGACGGGCTTTCGTCCGCGCCGCCTCGTTGGACGTGTCTGCATCTACGATGGACTTATCACGCTGTCGTGTTGGCCCGGCAACATCCCGTGTTTCGTTGGCGCATCACCCGATGAGCCTCCACTTCGGAGCAAGGTCGATTATAACCGACGGCTAGTGACAGTTGCAACCGTGACGATGCACGCATCGAGGAGGTTTTGTGGAAGAATCCAACATGACAAGAGAGTGGCCGCGACAGCAGCTCGGTATTCTTGTCCTACGAAAATCAAGTCGTGCCAACTCGGCGGGAACGCCAGGGACAGTAATGCAAAACGCCAGTGCCGGGTCCGGATACGCGGTTCAAAATTTGAAAAAGAGTGGGACGCGAATTTTGTTGGCGGAGGTCCAGTCATCCGGATATGCAGTGTGGTTTCCGGAGTCCGGATAAACCTGCCGAAAGCCATACCCGCGGTGGCGCAGCATACGCAAACGAAGCCAAGCGTGTTCTTCCTGTCCGGATACGCTGCCCCCAGAATGTAATGCCTCCTTTCCACAACAGGAAACCATCTGCCACAAGCGTTGTCGGCGGGTCCCCCAGAGTACGAGCGGCGCCGCGACTCCGCCCTTCCCCGTGTCTTCCAGCTTGACCACCGCTACAAGAGGTACGAGGCCATCGATGCAAGCCGGCGCGGGCTACCGAAGCATGCCCATCATGCGCCGGCCCGCGCCGGCCATCATGCGAATAGGGCCGCTCATGCATGGCGTATGTAGCCACGTTGATGGACCCCAAGTTTGCGGACGACGACCTTCTATTTAACACTTCGATGACGGGCAACGGGACGAACCCGAACGTGAACCTCTTTGGGAACGCGTTCTCGATGCCAGCGGCGACGGCCAATCCGCCGGCCAACATGATGAACCCGGCGCTGTACAACTCGATGAGCATGCAGAGCATGATGGCCATGGGTTCCAACTCGATGCCGATGATGTACAACGCGATGACCAACGGCAACAGTAGCGCCTCGAACGACGACGCGGCGATCCAGTTCCGGCCGAGCTCATGGCGACGTCGCCAAGCCGGAACCCGGCGACGGGCCAAGCGCCGGCGACCATGGCCGGCCTCAACGCGATGGCCGACCCGATGATGCAGATGAACCCAATGGGCATGAACCCGATGATGGGCGGCGGCATGCCCAACATGTACGGCATGACGCCCAACATGCCGCCCAACTTGTACATGATGCCGCCCCAGCAGCAGCAGCAGTACCTCTGGCAGCAGCAGCAGCAGTACCTCCAGATGATGCAAGCCAACATGATGATGCAGCAGCAGCAGCAACAGCAACACCAGCACCAGCAGCAGTCGGGCATGATGCATGGGCAAGCGCCGTCCGGTCACCTCGCGCAGCACAGCGCGATGGCAATGCCGATGACGACGTGGCAGACGACGGCCGACAACGCGATGCGGAAGGAAGTCATCACGCGCATCGTCCAGTTTCTGCAGATGCAAAAGCCCAACGCGCCGCAAGACTGGATGAAGCGGCTGCCGCAAATGGCCAAGAAGCTGGAAGAGGCGCTGTACCGCAAGGCAGCGTCGAAGGCCGAGTACAACGACATGAGCACGCTCCAGTCGCGGCTCCATGTCGTCGCCCAAGAATTCAAGACCAAGACGACGATGGCCAACAACAGCGGCAACGCGGCGACGCCCAAGCCCGCCGGCGAGTGGCGGTCGCCCGAGGACAACCCGCTTCGTCAGGACCTCATCGGGCGCATCGTCAACCTCCTCAAAGCGCAGAACCCTTCCGCGACGCCCGAGTGGATCGGCCGCCTTCCTCACATGGCCAAGAAGCTCGAAGACATGCTGTACCAAAAGGCGACGTCCAAGGCCGAGTACGGCGACCTCTCGCGGCTCAAGGAACGGCTCCAGGAAGTCGCGACCGAGATCCACAAGACGAACCACCAACAAGCCAAGGACAAGACACCGACGCCCAACAACAACAACAACAACAACAATGGTGCGCCGCCGACGAACGTCGGGCCGGTCTCGAACCCGGCTGCGCCGACCAACAGCAGTGCTGCAATGCCGGCCAAGGACGGGTCGTCGTTTACCGACATTGCCAAGACGATTGCGTCCTACTTGTCGCCGCGCACGATCAGCGAGTACAACCAGAAGGTGCTCTCGATGATGATGAACCTCGACCAGAACCGGCTCGTCTTGCAGCGGCAGCATATGCGGCTCATGCAGCTCAAGCACGCGAGCGAGTGCAAGCTGCCGTCCGACAAGTGCCAGCACCCGGCGTGCACCGACATGAAGCTCCTCTGGGGCCACCTCCAGAGCTGCCACAAGAGCCAGCTCTGCGAAGCGCCGCACTGCCTCAGCTCCAAGTATGTGCTGGCACATTACCAGCAGTGCAGCACGGTAACGTGCGTCGTGTGCCGGGCGCCCGACAACAATGCCAACCCGCCACCGCAGCCGCAAGCGCCGATAGTCCCGACTCCGATGATGAGCTTGCAGCCTCCGTTCGCGTTCCAGAACCAAGCACGGGGTATTGCTTCAACGCTGCCCGAGAAGGCGGTGCAAGAGTACCATCAGAAGGTTGAATTTATGCTCAACGACAAGACCAAGGAGCACCATCAGTCGATTTTGCTGCGGCAGCAGCAGCGGCTCATGCAGCTCCGGCACGCAAGTGAGTGCCAGCTCGAGCACAACTGCCCGACGCCGGCGTGCCACGAGATGAAGCCACTGTGGCGCCACCTCCAGAGCTGTCGGCAGACGGAGAACTGCCCGACGCCACACTGCCTCAGCTCCAAGTACGTCCTCGCGCACTTTCAGCAGTGCATGAAGCAGCAGTGTGCCGTGTGCCAACCCGTGCGGCTCGCGCAGCAGCAACAACAGCACGCGCAGCAGCACGCGCAGAAGCAACAAGCCCACTTTCAACAGCAGTACCAGCAGCAGCTGCAGCAACAAATGCACAACCAGCAGCAGCAGCAGCACCAACAGCAGCACATGCAACAACAGCAGCACATGCAGCAACAGCACGCCCAGGCCCAGGCCCAGGCCCATCATCAGCATCAGCAGCAGCAAGCGCAGGCCCAAGCACAAGCACAAGCGCAGGCACAAGCACAAGCGCAGGCATCAGCGCAGGCCCCGGCACCCGTCAAGGACGAGCCGGCGAGCGGTAGTGCGACGAGCAAGGAGCGCATTCGTCTGTTTACAGACAAGGCCAAGGCGATCGCGTCGATGCTCACGGCCAAGACGACGCAAGACTACCACACCAAGGTCGTCGGCATGATGCAACCTCGCAACGTGCTCCAGAACCAGACGATCCTCGAGCGGCAGCAGCAGCGCCTCTTGCATTTGCGCCACGCACTCTTTTGCACGCTGGACAAGTGCAATGCGGCCCACTGCGCCGAGATGAAGAAGCTCTGGGCGCACATCAACCAGTGCAAGAAGAGCGACGCGTGTGCGTTTGCGCACTGCCTCAGCTCCAAGTATGTGCTGAGCCACTTTCAGCAGTGCACGAACCTCACGTGCGTCGTGTGCGAGCTCGTGCGCAACCCCGTCGAGATGGACAAGCTCGTGGCCGAGGAGGCGCGGGAACAGACACCGCCGCCGTCGTCGACCGACGCCAAGAAGCGGCCGCTGGACGCTCCCGACGATACGACGCACGTGGCCAAGAAACCCAAGGAGGAGGAGTCGCTGTCGCCGTCGCTGGCGCTCGCGGCCGAGCCGGAAACGTCGGAAGACGGCCTCTTTGACTGTCCGCCCGAGCTCCTCAAGGACGACATGAAGGACGACGACGGGCTCACCGGCTTTATGGCCGACCTCGACGAGTACGACCCGGACGAGTTTGGCGGCCTCCTCATGTCGGACGATACAATATAAGTGAAGACGCGTGGTGTAGTTTTATTAAGGTAGGCAAGAGAACAAGAGACAGACGACGACATAACAACGTGTGTTTCCGTTGTATTTCTTAGACCGCGACCAACCGCGTCCGCGGGGCGGCCTCGATCGCGTCGCCAAAGAGGTGGGTTAGGGGTACAGCGCTCAGAGGCGTCCTCGCACTCGCCCACGTAAGCGTCAACGACCATGGCGTCGAAGGCCCTTCGACAGTCAGCGTGAGGACGTGGGGAAACCCCTCGCGCAGCGCAATCGGCGCCGTCGTCGTGACGACGTGATCGTCGAGCACAAGTTGCACCGACGCGTCCAGAGGTAGGCCGACGACGCCAAAATGGTAGAGCTCGGAGAAGCCGCCGAGAAGGAAGCCGGTCCACGTGACCTTGGTGTACCCGTCATCATTGTGCCATTGCGCATCGAGCCGCGTCACATCCGGAGTTGAACTCGCGACGCGGCCATAGTAGTGTCCGTAGAGGCCTCGACTTGCTTTCAAGATCAAGTCGACACGCGTCTCGTAGAGGCCAGCCCGCGGCAGCTGGTAGTAGGCCGTGTACGACCCGTTGAGGTGGTCGACGATCGTGGCGACGGCGGTCGCAGCACCGCGGAAGCTCACGCGGAGGACGTCGCCGCCGAGATGGATGGCGTTCGCGTGCGCGTCGTAGAGCTGGAGGTTGAACGCCCGCGTCTCCAGCGCCGGGTGTAGCGTCGTTGAGATCGTCGTCGTCGCCGACACCGCGACCGACGGTCGCACCACCGGAGCGTACGCGGGGGGCGAGTACGCCGCAGCGCCGTCGATATGGACCTCGATCGTATACGACGTGGCGACGACGACGGGGCAGGCGACTGTGTAGGCCGGTGCCGCCAGTGTCATTCCACAGACCACGGACAATGGCGACAAGGTGACCGTCGCGGAGATGGCGGAGCTGGAAGGCGATACGTCGTTGTCGTAGGCATCCTTGAGCTGCAAGGTGAAGGTGAGAGGCTCGCCTGCAACGCCACCGACAAGTCCGTCGCCCGAAAAGACGCTCTGCGCCAGCACGGGGGGTGCTGCGGCCACCGCAAACGCCACGGGCGCGGCGCCGATGCTCCAAAGACTCCGAGCGTACGCACCAGGGCTCAGTGCGCTGTCGACGGGCGTTGCGTTGACACCGATCGTCATCGTCGCCGTCGCCGTCGTCGTCCACGCCGTCAAAAGGAGCGTATAGGACCCGTTGTAGTGGTCGATTACGACCACGGTGGTCGTCGTTCCGTCCACTTGAACGCCGACGCCGTCGCCACCTTGCCGCCGAGCGTTGCCGAATTTGTCGTTGGCGACAACGACTAGAGCGACTTCGACACCGGCGATCCACTCGGATGGCAGTGGCGAGGCAACAACAAAGTGCGGGGGCGACGATGCCTCGGGGTAGACGCGTAGTATCGGCGTGATGCAGTTGATGCGCCAGCGCGCCACCAAGGCCGTCGGTGGGATCGGCGCCATCGGCGTCGAGAGGCTTGCCCACTGCACCTCAAAGCGCGCGGTTGTTTCGTTCGTCTTAGCAAAAACGACCGCGCACGACACGAGCTCGTGGGCCGTCAGTGGATGTGTGAACGTTGCTGTCGTCGTCGACGTGAGGTTGAGACGCAGTGCGCCATCGAGATAGACGGCAACCGCACCGACCACGTGTACTGTAAACGTGTACAATTCGGACGTCGGTGCATCGAGGTAGCCTTCCCAGCGCACGCTAAACGCCGACATGATGTCGGACGGCGACGCCGCATGCGCACCGACGTCGAAGCGAAGCGGTTGCTGGAGGAGGAGAAGCCCTGTACCGAGGCCCGCTGGGTTGGCGTAGATCGTGGCGTTGCCACCGCCGGGGACGAAGATCGATGGATGGAAGGCGTAGACACCCGCAACGGTTGGTGTCCACGACACGAGGGTGGTCGATGTGTCGACTGGCTGCACTGTCGGACGCACAACCGTTGACGCAGAGTCGAGCTCGACAGTGCCGAAGCGGTACCACTGTCGTAGCGTCGGGTTGCCGTAAGCGTCGCGCGGGGCGAGCACGGCTACGATGGGGGCACCCGCGATGAGCGGCTGCGGCGTCACGACCGTTGCCGTCGTTGTCTGGAGGTCGGCCACGTTGGGGTGGATCTGAATCGGGAACGGACTGCCTTGAATCTCGGTGGTCGACGCGTCCACGGCTACATGGAGGGCGTAGGCACCGGCGATCGTGAGCGTGTAGCTGACGTTGTAGAGCCCACGCCCGAGGCTTGCCACCACCGACGTTCCAACGGCGGCAACAGACGTCGACGCGTTGACAAAGCGGACAAAAATCGCGTCCGTGCTGGTCCGGTTGTTGCCGTAGACGTCCCGCGCTTGCACGAGGAGCCACGTTGGAACGCCAGCGATACCGTACAAGAGGCCAGTGCTGCCCGGCGGTGCCAGCGCGACCGAGACGCCGGCGGTGACGACACCGGTCGTGACCAGAACGGCAAACGGACTCTGCTGGATCGGAAGGCCGTTGACTGTCACGACCAGTGGCATGGCCGACGTTGCGTTCGTGGATACATAGCTGCACTGGTACTGGCCATTGAGGAGGTTTACACAACTCGGCGACACGAGCAGCGATGTCGA